TCAAAGGTATCGAATTACGATGCAAAATGCGTTAGTTAGTAAATGCACCTAAACGCATTTGTTTCTGTTGCATTCAAATGCGTCTGGGAGACTTTAACGCGCCCAAACGCCCTTAACTTGAATGCGTTCGAACATGCTAGTCATTTGAACGCGGCAAAATGCGTTTATTTTCACAGCGTTTTGGCGCGTCAGTTTCTGACGCGGCCAAACGCGTTTGATTCTAACGTATTTAAACGCATTTATCACCAATTAACGCCTCCAAACGCGTTTCAATTGTAAGAAAACGCGTTCAGACTCGTTTTTAGCACAAAAAAACGCGTTTAGCAGTGCGTTTGGTCTAAAAAAATGTCTGCCTGGGATGCTTAGTGAGACATACATACAGTAAGAAACAACAAAGAAAATTAGTTGTTAGAAATGTCCTAGAAATTCTAGATCACGGAGAAGTAAATCCGGGGCTCGTGGAACACTGGAGCCGCAGAAATCAAGGTTTCGCTTGATTCTCATTTTGAAGAGGACACCTTAGGCTATCAGACCATGGAGGAAAATCAATACAATTCTACTGAAAGGCTTTAAACGCGGTCTGGTTTTTCAAAGATCTCCCAGTAAACCTATTTCAGAGAATACTTCTGAAAAAGGTTTTGCTTATGGAAACATGCCTCCAAGTCTCCTGTTCCGCATTGCGAAAGCCGGAGCTCTCTAGCTGGCTTCTATCAAAAGTTATTCAGGAAACATCCGAATTCTTTCTGTTTGGAAATGGATAGTAGTTTGAAGTGTTTTTAGTGCTATGGATATTCAAACAAGTCCAATCTCAAATCGCTTGGCTTAGTGGTCATAAAGAACAGAAATTCAACTGCATGAATCATGGAATTACACTGAAATGGCCGGTTCTATGTTGTGTAACAATTCTCAACATCCGCTACCACATCCACCGGCACTACATCCACCGCCACTACATGCACCGCCGCCACCTCCCCATGCAGCGTCATATCCATCTCCTCCTCTACTGGCTACGGATATGAACAATGTAGGTACAATTAAAGCACAGCCTGCACCACTCTCCAATTTCTCTTGCACTAGTTGTTTATCACAACTATATCCATATTCAGTGTTATACGTCTTTTTCCATTTTTCAGCTGTTTTCTCATATGCTCCATTTAGTGTTTCACTGGAAGTATCATCATCATGATTTAATACGAAACCACATAGTTGCATACATGCGGCACGATATTGAAGTGGATTTCGCATATGTGTATGCCATATCAAGTCAATATCAAACGTTGGAACAATTATTTGATTCTTGTCGGCTAATTTCATAAATGAAACATATGTTTGTACGAGTTGCACGAACTTTTCTTTTAAGTTTACATCAGATTTTAAATTACATGTGTATAAATAATGACGAGAAAATTTCGCTAGAAAATCTTGTTGACGTTCAACAGCGTGAACTAAATCGATCGATGAACGAAACGTTATTGTTCCTTTTACCCTTTTGTGGTAATCGATTGCCATTCTTGGACACGAGCCACAACCATCATGTTTAACTTTTTTTTTCTCATACACATCCATATTAGAAATCTGATTTGTTTGTAAATCACGCTGATAGGTAATTGGATGTAATCGATGTACATGCCATATCCATTCAATTTCAAATGGCAGTTCTTGCTGATGTTTCTTATCCATTAGTTTTTTGTGATTTGACATTCGATGACAATATTCATTCACAAAATAATCTAGCAATGGTCCGGATTTTGTCAATTCTGGATAGGCAATGACAGCACATAACAACAGAATGTGATTGACGAACGCATAAGGATCAAGAACAAAACCTTCAAGACTGCGGCTCTTGCTTTTGTCCTTATAGTCAGGTTTTGTCTGTACCGAAACATGTGCGATATGCGAAAGATCATAATGGCATGTGTGCTTTTGGCCCATGTTGTTGTTTTCTTAACTCCAATACCAACTGTTAGCTCTCTACCGATCAGACTACAACTCTGAGCCGTTACTGATCCAAATGAGGCATAGGACGCAGTATTATATGTGTGTTTTCATGCATTCACTGTGTAGCATTGCATTGCTACATGAAGTTAATGAAGCGAATCTTGATCATTTTCTTGGGAAATTACCAACGGTGACTCAGGGAAGTTTGGTGACTGCATCGAAAATCGTCATAATAGGAAGTCGCGTCTCACGAAGACATGAACAGGTTCGAAAGAGTGGCCTCATCAGTCTGGAAATATAGAGAATAGGGATGCACCAATTACAGTTAAAACCGAACAACTGATATCGGTTGTAACCCGTATGTCTATTATGTTTGCTTATGGTCGCGATCCTATGTTAGAAAGGAACTCAACACTTTGAATGTGCTTGGGGCCCGTCTTTCAGAAATTCGCATAAGAAATGAAATGCGCAGTAATGCTAAAGTTTTAAACTAAAGAAGAAAACTTTGTCTTCTGCTGCTGCAAAACGTTGAACAATTTGGGTTTACGGCGCAGTTCAGATTCAGTTTCTGCACATTACTCTAAAATGATGAAGGAAATGATGCTTGCTACTTGAAACTTCATCAGAAAATGTTACTCTAAAACGACAGAGCTTAATTTGACATCTTCGAACTTTTCTAGAAAGTCAAATGAACTATTATCGTGCTTTAGTTATCTTTTCCTTACGAATCGTTGTTATAGAAAAGTCCGTAGATGTCAAATTAAGCTCTGTCATTTTAGAGTAACATTTTCTGATGAAGTTTCAAGTAGCAAGCATCATTTCCTTCATCATTTTGGAATAATGTGCAGAAACTGAATCTCAACTGCGCGATATGTAGTGAAGAGAGAGATTGATATGTATTTCGAAATATTTAGTTGATTTTTTTTAGGTTTTGATAAAAACCTCAAAAGCTCAACGTAAAAATTCCAAAGAAAATGAAAGTAGTCGGAGAGAAGAAAATTTCACAATACATATCAACCGACTCAGTTTTTAATCCTGATTCCGAATATGATATGTTTATTGCACAGAAGTTAAGTTATGATGGGGAAAGTTGAGAATTACGGAAAATTTTCTAACTTTTCCGCCTTTTATTTAGAAAAAATTCATCATTTTCCTTATTCGGTTGTTGACGTGGAATAAAGAAAAAATAGTTTGAAACCTTTTACGCAGCGCAAAAATTCTCGAAAAACGAATTTGAGCGATTATCGAATTTTTTAGGCAATATAAATCACGTTCTCTGTCGCATCGTTACTACAACGAGGTCAGCTGAGATATATTATGTTTTTCATAAACTTATCATCATTTATCTTACAAGACATGAATTGTCGCGTAAGAAACAATTGAAATTATTGTTGAATTCCATGTTGAAATGCAGAGCAATAAAAAGAAAGTGTTACCTTTTCAATGCAACTTCCTTTGCTTTGGGACGCTTTTTACGTGATTCGATGATCACTGTTTGAAAGTTACGGGCGATGTATCGAAGCTGTGAGTGTTAAATGAATTATTTGCAGAGAAGATGCACTAGCATGAAGTTAAAGATGAGAATTCGCTTATTCAGCATGTAGGCTTACGTTAATCAATAACAACGACTCGTAAGGAAAAGATAACTAAAGCACGATAATAGTTCATTTGACTTTATAGAAAAGCTCGTAGATCTCGAATCGAAGGAGATGGAGGCCGGAGATTTGCCTAGTTTTGAAGACCGATGTGCTGGCTATCGAGTGATGTTATCTGATTTCGAAATTTGTTGTGTGCGCAGGAAATGGTGAGGTTTCAGATTTTGTCTCAAATGTTACCTCATGGTAAGTCTGACTTCTTCATAGGTACCAGGTGTTCCAAACGTGGCTCAGAAAAGTTTTTGCGAATAACTCTTATATAGTTCAAGCGATTTCAGTATTTTATAATATTGTAGTACTTTCTTTGAAGTTTTATTCTGTATATATTTCAGATAAATGCCTGTGCCTAAACTCTCCCCGTAATAGAAGCCCCTCTTGGAGGAGTCGATGTAAAAAATGGATTAGAAGCCCCCTCATTTTAAAAATAATTTGAAAGTTTTGAAAGTTTTTATTAGTATTTCCACAGTAAAAACTTTCAAGTTTTCAAGATTTTAAGGTAAAAGCTCGTTTAAATTTTACTTACTTATAAAATACTGAAATCGCTTGAACTATATAAGAGTTATTCGCAAACTTTTCTGTTATAGAGTTATAGAGTTATAAGAGTTATTTTTAAAACCATTATAGAACGGTAACAACACGTCTTTGGAAGTCGGAAAATGTCTCGCTTTGTTGAGAAATATTTCATGTCAACAAAAGTTTGTTAAGAAAAAAGCCCTTCGTGTGTTAACAAATAAAACACAGCTGAAAAATGAAGTAACTATTATCTGTCCCAAAATATAACTCAGTGCAATGTTTCTTGAATAACTTTGATAGAAAGGCCTGCGGTTTCCATATTCTAAAACTAGACACTTTGGGCTGTATACCAGGTGTTTGAAAAATCCCTGAGAAAAGTTTTTGTGACTAACTCTTAAATAGTTCAAGCAATTTCAGTATTTTATTTTATAATATTGTAATACTTTCTTTGAAGTTTTGTTTAATATAATTCGGTTTACAACAAATGTTTAAAATGATTTCCATCGACCGAAATACATAAATCTATCCTTTTCGAAATATTTGAAAAAGCATTACACAAAGTTTCTTTTGAAATCGATTTAATCTCGTTTGTGATTTTCATTTTCAACTCAACCATATCTTTGACAGGAGTTTTGTAGACATTCTTTTTTATGTGGCCCCAGAGAAAAAAATGGAGAGGTATTAAATCCGGTGAACGCGGATGGAGTCACCTCTCCCGACCCACCAGCTGGGAAAATGGTTTTCCAAATATTGCCGTACATCGACGGAGAAGTGAGGATGAGCACCATTAGAACGAAACTTGTGTAATTTTCTAATTTCTGAAATAAAGAAGTTTTGAAGCATTAACAAATAATTCTCTCCGTAAACAGTATCGTCTTCGAAGAGAAAAATAATTCAATCAATTGATTTTTTGACATAGCTTACCACACGTTTAATTTGGAAGATTTCATAACAGTTTCAACGGCAACGTGTGAATTAGTTTCAGACCAATATCTAACTTTATATTTGTGGGCTAATCCATTTAAATAAAAAGTTGCTTCGTCCGAAAAAAACAAATTTTCTTGCATTTGGTTGTCTTCTAACATTGGTATCAGAGTTTTACACATTTCAACCCCGTCTTGTAAATCTTCGTCATAAAGCTGTTGGACAAAGTGCATCTTGCACGGTTTCGAAGAAAGATATTGGGTCATAATTCGATGCGCTGTTGTTGATGAAATGCAACAAGCTGTTACAACTGTTCGAACAGTCGATTGTGGTTGATTTTCAATACCATCACTAACTTCTTCGATCTTTTCTTCCGTAAGTTTGACGGTCTTCCAGAACGTCCTTTATCTTCTACTGTTCCAGTTACACAACAGCGTTGAAATGTGACTGTAATGGTACCTTCACTTACTGTACTTCTGCCAAACTCGATCTGCAATCTTGTCTCACAACCGCAGGTGATTCAAACTCGGCCATTAACAAAACTATTTGTATTCTAATGTTCGTACCGCCCCCCCCCCCCCCCCCCCCCCCACACCACCCCACGCGCCGCGCAGGC